ATTTTGTTTTTAAAGATTATTAGTACTTAATTTATTTGTTACATAAATTATTAATAGTCCCGTTTCGTACTAAGCTAAATATGCTTATATCAAGAGTGAGCTCACCACAATAGTCGAGCGGCGCGGCAGGGACCGAACCCGCGTTCCCCGGATCACGAGTCGGCTAGTCCGACTCCTTCACCGTTCAGCTATCGTGGCTTCGAAGATGATCTACTCTTACACAATACAAAGTCAGGGCACAAGAAGTAAGAGACCTATAAATTGACTGTCTGAGAATACATGGCAATATACAGCATTTTAAAAATACTATAGAAATTACGATATTGCAAGGTACACTTTGGATACTTAAAATGATTGTCAGACCACATTTTGTTCGAGTATTCAATACTATCTTATGATAAGCTTATACATATCATTCGAAACCAAGCAGAAACTTTATCGAAAAATAAACGAATCTTCAAAATATCTAAAGTTCCCTGACAATTTTTTTATATCTATCTATCTGTTTCACCGGCGATTTAGATATATCGTTGAAGCAAATCTAAATTTATATAACTCAAAGGTGACTGGCTGCTACCAATCGATCAACAAGGAAAGCATTGGGGGAGGCCTATGTTCAGCAGTGGATGTCCTATAGCTGAAATGATGATGATGATGATGATGAAAGTTGACTGGCTGACTGACTGACTTAGTGATCTATCAACGCACAGCCCAAACCACTGGACGGATCGGGCTGAAATTTGGCATGCAGGTACCTAGATGTTATGACGTAGGAGGCATCCGCTAAGAAAGGATTTTACGAAACTCCACCCCTAAAGGGGTAAAACGGGATCCACGCGTGCGAAGTCGCGGGCGGCCGCTAGTAAACTTATAAAGCTGAATAAAGACGTATTTCATTAATTGTATTACATTCGATAGAGGATTGTGGGGACAATTCCTGCAACTGACTCTCGAATTTCGAGATTCCAATCCAATTATCGACAACAAACGTGCCCTCAAGTCACAACACTACTTTGCCCTTTGTGCCCCGAAGTACGCTTGCGAAGCTAAGTTGGATCGCAATATAACTTGCGCCGATCGGGGCAACTGTCCCCAAATGGGGAAACTTGGGGAAAATAAAATAACATACACACATTNGAAAGGATGATGGGCACTTTTCTATGGAATCTGGGCGTAAATCCAACAGAAATGTAACTACTATTATTTGTTAGGACTTAATATCAGAAATATATTTTCATATAAATAACTACCAAAAACTCCCGGGTTTGCTTGGAAATTGACATAATGTGTAATAGTATTAGGTGCTTTCTTGCGCAAACAAAAAATATTATTAATTAATATACTTATCTACTTACATTTTAAATACATTAAGTTATTTATCCATTATTAAGTCCAACAGTTCAGGAGTGGGGCCAACAAATGGTATATTTAAACTATGTTCTACATTATAAGCGTAGGACCATACCTAGGTACCATTTAGAGAAATGGGATTTCTACCAGTTAAGTTGTAGTGTTGTCGCATAATCGATCACGGATCGATTACTAATCGATATTGCCAAATAACGATTTATCGATTAATAATTCGATTAATCGATTTTATTGATTACCATCATTACTATCATTTGATTGTTAATTCAATTCCTTATTTTTAGCAATATAATCGATTATTTCAATCGAATAATCGATTATGATTTATTCGGTACACATACTTACTAAATCGATAGAATCGATAGTAAGATATGATACAATACTCTCAATATGATCGATAAAAGCAATCTAATTGACCTAGTACTATTTTTATTACCCTAATGTGATGTGAAATACTATGGAAACTTTGCATATTCAACGACCTCTATCTCCGTATCCCCGCGTATTTCAGGATTGTTGTCATACTATGAAATGAAGTACTAGTATTAAGCTTTAATTTAGTATACTTTTTGTTTCTGTTGGTTCAACGCCCAATTTGCCCATCATCCTTTCATAACAGAATTTTTAACTTGACTGTTGTGATCGGTGGGTTTCAAAGAACTGAGGACAATATACTCACGTCGATGGTTAAAAGATGTAGTTCGAAAAAGGTTCATATTCATCGTGCATGGTTTACTTACGATCGTGTTATTGGGCGATCTAACGCACAGAGTGAGGTCGCAAACTGCGACCGAACGAATGTGAGTTAGAACGCCCAATAACACACTACTTATAACTAAAAAAATTTCAAATAGGTAAAGCTAACTTCTTTAACATCAAAGACTTTTAACAAGATTTCCGAAACTTTTGATCTTCTTTTCCACAGAAAAATTAAAAACATATTTTCTTAAACATCAATTTAAAATAATCCACACTAGCTGATGGTAGGTATTCTAAATCAGAAAAAACATAGTAAAATTCTAGAGCGTCATTAGAAAGTTTAAATAAACCGTAAATACTTTTAGCACCGCGGGCTAACTAAGGATAGCGCCCAAATGGATAAAAAATAACAGTAACAGAAAACCAAAGTGACCGACATAGCCCACAGAATTGCTGAAATCAAGTGGCAGTGGGCGGGGCACATAGCTTGCAGAACTAATAACGTAGTGTACACTGGTCCCCCACTACGTAGACCGACGATCTGTTGAAGGTTGCGGGAAGTACCTGAATGCGGGCAGTGCAGGACCTATCGTTATGGAATTCCTTGGGGGAGGCCTTTATTCAGCAGTGGACGTCATTTGGCTGAAACGAACGAACAGAAAATCAAATTAAATAGTAAGACACGGGTCTTAACGCGACGTTTATTAATGAGTTGCACTATGTACTCACGGCTTGACGTTTCGGCTGCGATGCTGCTAAGCCACCAGTCTGCTTGTGACCACGGCTGCAGCATCGCAGCCGAAACGTCAAGCCGTGAGTACATAATGTAACTCACTAATAAACGTCGCGTTAAGACCAGTGTCTTACTATTTTAGTTGCAATGGAACGCGAAAGTTTAAAATCATAGGCTGAGTTGCACCACCTAACTTTGACCGTAACTAGATGATGATAACCGGTGCTTTTTGTATGGAGTTTGACAGATTTTTGACGTTTGTCAAAGTTAAAGTAAGATGGTGCAACCCAGCTTTAGAAAATCTAAATGCCTCCAAACATCAAGTGTTAAAACTAATTACCCTCGTATTAATTGCCTGCTTCCTACCTATTTGTCCTGAGCAATATCATTGTTTTACGTGTCCTTACTTCGGTCCCTGAGTACACAATACCCAACGTCGTCAACTAGTTAGCTAGTGTTGAGACGATACATTGTTTATAGGTATCACTTCTGGACATGATTTATTTCTGCCAAAGAAGTTAAAGTATGAGATACAGTTACCTAGGTACTATAACTGTCGAGTAGAAAAACTTGCAGAAGTAAAGTCTAGTGAAGAAAAAAAATATTTAATTTGTTTTATTATAAACGAATCTTTAAAATATCTAAAGTCCCTTGTCAAATTTTTTATATCTATCTATTTCACTGGTGATTTAGTTAAATCGTTGAAGCAAATCTAAATATAATATGTAACTCAAAGGTGACTGACTGACTGACTGACTGACCGATTGACTGACTGACTTATTGATCTATCAACGCACATCCCAAACCACTTGACGGATCGGGCTGAAATTAGGCATGCAGGTAGATGTTATGACGTAGGCATCCGCTAAGAAAGGATTTTACGAAACTCCACCCCTAAAGGGGTAAAACGGGATCCACGCGTGCGAAGTCGCGGGCGGCCGCTAGTAAACTTATAAAGCTGAATAAAGACGTATTTCATTAATTGTATTACATTCGATAGAGGATTGTGGGGACAATTCCTGCAACTGACTCTCGAATTTCGAGATTCCAATCCAATTATCGACAACAAACGTGCCCTCAAGTCACAACACTACTTTGCCCTTTGTGCCCCGAAGTACGCTTGCGAAGCTAAGTTGGATCGCAATATAACTTGCGCCGATCGGGGCAACTGTCCCCAAATGGGGAAACTTGGGGAAAATAAAATAACATACACACATTATCTCCGATATATTGTGTAACACAATTAAATGGAAACGTCGATTCGAAATATTTCTTATCTTAGTTTATTTAGGAACGCTGATATCGTAATCTTTATATTTGCCAAGATTTGTACAGATGTTGGCAAATAGTATAATGTGGATTAGTTTCTTTGTCTGACAGACGCACTGCGGAAATTTTCGGTAATACGCTCTAATATAACAAAAAGGTTCCATTGTCCGGTTCGTTCGGAAGATCTTATATCTGAAACTGCTGATATTGTTCACGAAACTCTTTATTGTTAGAAATCTAATAATATTTTACCAATGACTGGACTGTAATAGTTCTCAACGTTCCAAGAAAGGTCTGGAAAGCCCAAATATTGTCAATCTGTTACACCAGATGTTCTGATTCGACTGAAATATTAACAGTACATTTAGCCTGTTCCAGAAAATTACTCGACTGGAAATAAGTGTCCTTGAGTCTTTCCGTCATCTGCTCGTAGTTATTTATTAGCACTTCAGGCTATACACAATTTTATTGCTAAATAGCACCTATTACAACGTAGTAAGATACTACAGTGTTTAGCTTGATGTACTGTCGTCCGTACATTTAAAATGTTCTTTCTGGAACTAAAAAAGGAAAAATTCTTTTTACTCGACTAGAATTAAGTGTCCTTGAGTCTTTTCGTCGCATACTATACCCTGTTAAGTTTTATTTTCAAATATTTTTAATGTGGTTTGCACATGCAGCCAGAGTCAAGTAATTACTTGACTCTCAAACCAAGAAGTCCCTTCTCTTTTCATCCATAAGGAAGAAGCTCTTGCACCTGCATCTCACCTGATGGAAAGCGATGATTAGGTCGAAGGTGAAAGAGAGCTTCTCCCGGAATCCTCAACCACACAGGAACTGGCTATCTTACCTCCAACTTACTCAACACAACAACCTATTTGTTGGCCTGATAAGTGCATTATCATCTAATTTTAACCCTCTTTGTCCCCAGGTACCACAACAGCAGGATGATCAACTACGACCTTGAGAGAGGCATCAACGTGACCACAGATCCTGCACAGCGGCTGTCAGACCTGCTAATACCAGCAGCCAGCGTGTCGCACACTGGCAATTACACTTGCGTGCCCAACAACGCAATACCTGCTAGTATATACGTGCATATTTTTAATGGTAAGTCCCTAAAATCCTTTTGATAAAGGTGCAAATAATTTATAATGCGAACAGGTAGGGGCTGGAATTCGCTGCCTGCTGCTGTCTTTCCTATAATCCGGGTCGGGCACTCGGGCCTTGAAAAGGAACTTACAGGGCAGATATGTACCATCCTAGACTGCATCTAAATTAACACCAGGTATTCAAAAATCACTGTTTTGTCTTGCATAAAAAAAACCTTCAGATGACCTTGCCACAACTTTGGGTGTGGCGGGTGATATACTTGGCTAATTTTTCTAGTTCCTTGTAGCCATTGTAATAGGTACCTGTTCGTCGTCTTAATCATCATCATCATCAGGTCATTCAGTCTCCACTACAGGAGCACAATCTTATAATTTACCAGAGGCAAATGGAGGATTTGGCCTGCACTCCCCACGCTGGCCAGACGGGTTGGGGATTGGGGAGGAGGCCTGATGTTCGCTCGATTTTTCCCTTAGTCGCCTATTACGATATCCAGTGGAAGAATGGGATCCTATTCTAATATATCGGAAACACATTTGGCGAATATATTATATTTAATACTCTAATTATAATTTATTGATGTTTGGGGAAAGCAATCAGCTCGATTCACAGAAAATTGATTTTATAAAGTGATTGAATTACAATATTAACACGTTAATTGTATTTCCGTGAACTTGAAATAACGAGAATGTACTTATTATACGATAAATGTAATAAACCTAAAACCTGCTACTGGAAAACCCAGTCCTAAATTAACACTTTCAATGAAAGCACTAAAGCTTACACGATTAAAACGATTTACACAATTTCAGCTCACTGAAACACGAAAACTGTTGAGGATTCGCCACACTGGATGAGTTCTGCGGTCATTCAGGTCATAGTGAACGTAGCCCGTATCTATGAGCAACATAATCTATACATTTTGTATTGATGCAATCTGGCCGTGCGGGCTCGAGCTAAGGGGCTTAGTAAATAATGTAATAATAAATAAATAAAATAAATAAATAGTGTGAATTTACATCAAACGTCCTCACTAGTGAGCGCGTAAAAAATGTCATTAAATGTATGACGGATTGTACAGCGCCCCTAGCGGAAACGTTCAAGAACTAAAATCTTCATAGATTTTTTTGACGCACTCGATATTGAATACGGTTGATGTTTTACACTAAGCTCCCAGAACCCAAACCGCACCGCTGACAGATTGTCTTGTCACGACCGCTGAGTGTTGCCATAGGCCTAAGATGCCTACGGCAACACTCAGCCAACTATAAGCCCATACATTTTGCCGATTTTATCACAGCATCCTAGCCCGGCTGACCGACATTGTTGTTCATACTTGGGAGGCTCTTGTAGTGAACAAAACTCGGATGAATTTGAAAACTTAATGTATTGCTCGTTACACTTCTTTTACAGCTTTTAACACAATCTTAAACAACTCGGAAACTTGGGGAAAATAAAATAACATACACACATTATCTCGGATATATTGTGTAACACAATTAAATGGAAACGTCGATTCGAAATATTTCTTTAGTTTATTTAGGAACGCTGATATCGTAATCTTTATATTTGCCAAGATTTGTACAGATGTTGGCAAATAGTATGATGTGGATTAGTTTCTTTGTCTGACAGACGCACTGCGGAAATTTTCGGTAATACGCTCTAATATAACAAAAAGGTTCCATTGTCCGGTTCGTTCGGAAGATCTTATATCTGAAACTGCTGATATTGTTCACGAAACTCTTTATTGTTAGAATCTAATAATATTTTACCAATGACTGGACTGTAATAGTTCTCAACGCTCCAAGAAAGGTCTGGAAAGCCCAAATATTGTCAACCTGTTACACCAGATGTTCTGATTCGACTGAAATATTAACAGTACATTTAGCCTGTTCCACAAAAATACTCGACTGGAAATAAGTGTCCTTGAGTCTTTCCGTCATATACTCGTAAGTTATTTATTAGCACATCAGGCTATACACAATTTTATTGCTAAATAGCATCTATTACAACGTAGTAAGATACTACAGTGTTTAGCTTAATGTACACCGTCGTCCGTGCATTTAGCCTGTTCCTTCTGGAACTAAAAAAAGTAAAATTCTTTTTACTCGACTAGAATTAAGTGTCATTGAGTCTTTTCGTCACATCTTTACCTTGTTAAGTTTTATTTTTAATGTTTTCGCAATGCGGTTTGCACATTTTAAGCGTCAAGTAAAAGTAATTTCCAACTCATGTTACAGATGAATTCGATTAAAGATGAACGATAAAATGATCCTCCAGCTTCCTATGAGTTTCAGCAAAGATGTGGCACTAAGAAATAAAACAAATTCTAAATTATGGCGCTTCACTTTCAAACTAAGAAGTCCCTTCCCTTTTCATCCATAAGGAAGAAGCTCTTGCACCTGCATCTCACCTGATGGAAAGCGATGATTAGGTCGAAGGTGAAAGAGAGCTTCTCCCGGAATCCTCAACCACACAGGAACTGGCTATGTTACCTCTAACTTTTGCAACACAACAATCTATTAATTGTTGACCGGATAAGTGCATTATCATCTGTCTAATTTCAACTCTCCTTGTCCCCAGGTACCACAACAGCAGGATGATCAACTACGACCTTGAGAGAGGCATCAACGTGACCACAGATCCTGCTCAGCGGCTGTCAGACCTGCTGATACCAGCAGCCAGCGTGTCACACACTGGCAATTACACTTGCGTTCCCAACAACGCAATACCTGCTAGTATATACGTGCATATTTTTAATGGTAAGTCCCTAGACTTTCTATTAATGAAGGTGTAAATATCCTTCCTGATGAAGGTAGCAGAAAGGCGCTGGATGCAGACCGCTACCAACCGTGCGATGTGGAAGTCATTGGGGGAAGCCTATGTTCAGCAGTGGACGTCCTATGGCTGAAATGATGATGATGAATATCCTTCAGATGACCTTGCCATAACCTATTTTTTTAGTAATTTGTTATTTCACAAATTACTAATACTCCCGTTAGCCCCTCGTATTAACCTAATGCTTGTGTCACGAGTGAGCTCACCACAGTAGTCGAGCGGCGGCGGGGACCGAACCCGCGTTCACGAGTCGGCCAGTCCGACCCCTTCACCGTTCGGCTATCGTGGCTTTACTTTGGGTGTGGCGGGTGATTTACTTAGCTACGTTTTCTAATTCCTTGTAGCCATTGTAATATCTACTCGTCTTAATCATCATCATCATCAGGTCATACAGTCTCCACTCCAGGAGCACGACCCTCTAATTTACCAGAGGCAAATGGAGGATTTGGCCTGCACTCCCCACGCTGGCCAGACGGGTTGGGAATTGGGGAGAACTGATGTTCGTTCGATTTTTCCCTTAGTCGCCTATTACGACATCCAGTGGAAGAATGGGATCCTATTCTAATGTATCGGAAACACATTTGGCGAATATATTATATTTTATTAACAATAAATAATAATTTTTTGATGTTTGGGGAAAGCAATCAGTTCGATTCACAGAAAATTGATTATATAAAGTGATTGAATTACAATATTAACACATTAATTGTATTTCCGTGAACGTGAAATAACGAGAATATACTTATTATACGATAAATGTAAACCTAAAACCTGCTACTGGAAAACCCAGTCCTAAATTAACACTTTCAATGGAAGCACTAAAGCTTACACGATTAAAACGATTTACACGATTACAGCTCACTGAAACACGAAAACTGTTGAGGATTCGCCACACTGGATGTGTTCTGCGGTCATTCATGTCATAGTGAACGTAGCCCGTATCTATGAGCAACATAATCTATACATTTTGTATTGAAGCAATCTGACCGTGCGGGCTCGAGCCTGTGCTCGACGTTAGATGTTAGATGTACGAGGGGCGGCTGAAAAGTTTTGAGCCTAAGTATGTTCAAGTGTTATTATTGACTTTATTTTGATTGAATTAATTTGCCAATAACATCCTTAGCATATGTACAAAGTTTCATTTCATTAGCGTCATCACGCTTTTAGTAATTAATCCGTAAACATCATCATGTCTCAGTCGTCCGCGCGATGTACGAAATTGAAGTAAGTACACAGTTGTCATAAAATTCCTCAAAAAGAGGAACAAAAAGCTGACGGTAACATTTGAAGAGATGTCNAATAGTATAATGTGGATTAGTTTCTTTGTCTGACAGACGCACTGCGGAAATTTTCGGTAATACGCTCTAATATAACAAAAAGGTTCCATTGTCCGGTTCGTTCGGAAGATCTTATATCTGAAACTGCTGATATTGTTCACGAAACTCTTTATTGTTAGAAATCTAATAATATTTTACCAATGACTGGACTGTAATAGTTCTCAACGTTCCAAGAAAGGTCTGGAAAGCCCAAATATTGTCAATCTGTTACACCAGATGTTCTGATTCGACTGAAATATTAACAGTACATTTAGCCTGTTCCAGAAAATTACTCGACTGGAAATAAGTGTCCTTGAGTCTTTCCGTCATCTGCTCGTAGTTATTTATTAGCACTTCAGGCTATACACAATTTTATTGCTAAATAGCACCTATTACAACGTAGTAAGATACTACAGTGTTTAGCTTGATGTACTGTCGTCCGTACATTTAAAATGTTCTTTCTGGAACTAAAAAAGGAAAAATTCTTTTTACTCGACTAGAATTAAGTGTCCTTGAGTCTTTTCGTCGCATACTATACCCTGTTAAGTTTTATTTTCAAATATTTTTAATGTGGTTTGCACATGCAGCCAGAGTCAAGTAATTACTTGACTCTCAAACCAAGAAGTCCCTTCTCTTTTCATCCATAAGGAAGAAGCTCTTGCACCTGCATCTCACCTGATGGAAAGCGATGATTAGGTCGAAGGTGAAAGAGAGCTTCTCCCGGAATCCTCAACCACACAGGAACTGGCTATCTTACCTCCAACTTACTCAACACAACAACCTATTTGTTGGCCTGATAAGTGCATTATCATCTAATTTTAACCCTCTTTGTCCCCAGGTACCACA